AAGGCTAGACTGGGAGGTAATTAGCAGATAAAAGTAAAGTGCAAACGCCCATAAGCTCTGTCTGTCTTTGTGTCATATTAGCTTCCCACCTAGACAGATTTTCTTACAGGGTATTTTCTTTTGGAAGACTCAACACCTTCTGTTTCGGTATTTCTGAGCCTAATGAACTCTAAGCAGACAGGCACCGTCATCAGCCTGGCTCTGTAACAAGCACAGAGTCATCTTGCTTCTTTTGGAGCTGCCTGGTTAATCATCAGTCACCCATTTTTGTGTGTTGGTGGGTGGGGGTCCCCTCTAGCCCCAGAGGAGCCTGTCAGCATCCTAGAAAAGCAGTGCTGCGACTTAATGAAAATTAAAAGAGGAAACGAGAGGAATCTTCCTACTTCAGTGCTGAGTGAGGTTACACTTGGAAAAGCAATTAATTGGATGAGGGAGCTTTTGGACCATGCCTTTATTAGTGAAGTGCCACAGGTCTCCCTTCTCGTGCGGTTCCCTTAAATGTTTTGCCTTGGTTTTGAATAACATAACCCTTTTGCATCATTTCCTCCTCCTGTGGATCTCCAAGCACTTCCCAAAGAGGCAGCCACCGTAGTTTGTAAGGCAGAAAACTGAAAGATGATGGTTTGCACAAACTCTACCTGCCTTTCTTTCTCCCGCACACATATGTATGACTCAAAAGGTAACCTCGTCTTGGCATCATTGAGTGCTCACTCTCAGCCATACACAGGTAGTGAATAAAAGGATAGTGGGAAAGACGTGTTTTTCAGGGAAATCAAAGCCCCACCTGTCAGTCAGCGCCTGTCTGATAGCCATTTATCTTGAGACTGTCAAAAGCCATCTTTTCCTAATATTTCTTCTTCCTCCATCTTTCCACGAGCGCTCAGTGTTCAGCCATCAATGCTTTTATTCTTTTTTGGGTGCTACTTTAATTTGCCCTGTTCCTCTACCAACTTTCCCATGCTGCCAGTGTCTGTCAAGTAAGAATTTCATTCGCTTCGGCATTGTAACCCAAGAGAAAATATGTGCCCAGTGACCCAGGCTCTGTTTTACGTGGTGTGGACCAAGAGGCAGCAAAAGAACCAGGACAAGTTTTTCAGTAACGATCCGTTTAGTCTTTACTGCTCTATTGGTTGCTTGTTGAGTAGTATAGGACGCTTTGGGAAAAGAGATGACAGAATTAAGTGGAAACCTGATTTGGGAGGGAGGCAGGTTTACTAAAGAACAGTTGTTTATGCTCATAATGCAAGAAAACACAGGCATCAGATTTAAAACCAAAGGAAGTGGGCTTTTTTACACAAACTTGATGCCAAATTCACGTCTTCAAACTCCTCCTGCCTGCCAGTTTAGATTTCTCCAGAAGCAAATCCTACCCTGATGGAAACTTGCATGTACTTAAGTGAGATGAGCAATTATTTAAATTGAAAAAGTCACCACGGTCAGCAGGGGAAAGTGTTTCTTGCAGACTTTTCTTGTTTTACCTCCTGCGATGTCTTCAGCAAATGTCTGTCTTGAAGACTTGGAGCTATCAGGAGGTACATCAGCTCTGTCAGGCAGAGCTCGTAGACAGCTCTGCAAAACAATGCCTCCTGAAGATGCTTAGCTGACCCTGCTTTGACTCTTCTTCAGCAAACCTAAGAGCCCTAAATGTCACCACCTGCCCCGAGTCTGTCATCTGGGCGAAAGCTGAGCAACAAGAAGTCTGATAAAAAGCCTCTTTGCAAGGTTGATAATACACTGACTCACATCTCTTTTTGCAGTAGCCTGTCCAAAAGGAAAGCAGCTTCGTACAGAAGTGACATTTTTATTATCCTGCCCTCGTTTAACCAAAGATGGTAAATGCCAATGAATCAGGACGGTGCATGTGACTATAAGAGGTAATTTCATCTCACAGATCTCTTTGCTGGAGGGAGCAGTGATTTACAAACTGAAGTCTAAATCTCTGTGAGATGCTTGCACGTAATTGCCATCATCTGGAAAAGATGTGTATGCTCGATAGCAGTGTCAGTCTATTACACAATGAAGGAGTTCACCAAATCCTTCCATAGGTACAGTGCTCCTTTTATAGCAGCTCGTCGTTTGTGCTAAAGTTTCCCAGAGCAGTTCAGCTAATAAGGGAATGCTAGCAAATTTCCCAGAAGGATGCCTGTGCCTAGAATCTCACAGACCATTCATATCTGTATCACAATTTTTGCAGCCGGGGACTAAAGGCAGAGGGAAAAGCAGTGATTTGCTCCGAATTAGAGAAAAAATACTGAAATCATTTGGAACAGAAAGCTGGCTAGTCTTCAGACATCCAAACCTGTGCTCAAACTGCTAACAAATATTATTCCTTTTCAAGAATCTAATGCAAAGATCCGTGTGCTTAATGATTTTCAATAACCACATACTGAGGTTATGTTTATACTACGATGGGGGAGTTTGAGATTAAATATTGGGAGAAGTTGTAATTCCACTGAAGCTGTCAGTAAAGTTCATATACAGCAGGAAGTTTTCTGCTTTAATGGACCACGTGTAAGGTGTTCCTGAAGGTTTCCAGACAGATTTCTCTTGACCTATTGTTAAAGATCAGTAGCATTAGAAGAGTGATGTTGCCAGTCCCTTGAGTGCTTTAGTTAAAGCAGGTTTCCCTGTACTTTCATTAATGGACAGTCCCTGCTTCACCAGAGTGATATTTCTAGGGATTTAGGCTTTTTGATTGTTTTGCTTCTACTCTGTTCTTTTTAATATGTTTCAAGATCCTTTGGGTCTCTTTGGTATGACTCTGAAATATGAAACCTTACACTATAGATGAATATCTTGAAATTAATTGTTCTTTCATTCATAGCATCAATGTAAGTGAACCTCAGCTTCAAATATAACTTTTATAACAAAATTAACATGATTTTTTTTTAATTGAAAACGTGCAACACTTGCCTATTTTTACATTTCTACACGTAGGCTTTTTAGTCCAAATGGAGTGATTTTAGATTAATCAAGCAGACACTTTGCACACGTGTAAATAGTCACACGCCACGAGGCAGCAGAGAGCCAGACTGATGATCCAGGGCATTTGAGTTTGCAACAAGTAGTAGAAAATGGCAGAAGAACAGCTAAATATACTGTGAGCCAGCTCTTTGGAGTCCTACCTTCAGAAGAAAGAGAGAGAGAGGGATTAATAGTCTGCCAAAATCCTTGATGTTGCCGTTTGAGGAAGGCAACAGCACAGTGCTGGGGTTATCTGTTCCACCTCCAGGATCGTATGCGGTGGGGGTGGCAAACCTGATTCCTCCTAACTGACCATCCCAGCGTCATCAATCCCTGTTATTTACCCCTTCCTGTGGCTGCACTGGCTCAGCCCTGGCCCAAACCCTTCGAACCAGGCAAATTTGCCAGCGCGAAGAAGCTTTGGGACCGTGCTGTGGACAGATGGCTGGGCTCCCTGGTGATCCGAGCCAGCGGGTACGGATCCAGCAACAGGCTCCGGCTGCTTCATTGGAGTAATGATTGATGGTGACTTATACAAGGGCTAAGAGTAATTCTTTGCTGTTAACCAGCCTTGGCTGCAGCAGAATGGAAGTGGAAATTTGTCGCTTCCTTTATTCATCCTGCCTCTGCTTCCTTCCCGCCCACCCTTGTGCTTTTTAATACCGAAAAGATGAAGCTACTTTGCTCAGTCTTAAAACTGTCTTTCCCAAGATACTCTTAATTGTATCTCTGCACCTTTTCTCGTTCAGACGCATAAGAAGATTAAAGATAGAGGGAGCAGTAATAGATTTAGTTAGGTTTTAATAGGATTTGCAGAGGACAATGCAGAGAATGAACGCCACGGAGAATATTGCTCCCCTATCTTTGACATCCCTAAGGCTTCTTGGGTATAGTCTTTCACAGAGATTTTGTCTGTGCCTTGCATTCAGAGTCAAGACTCTCATTTTCCAATAGAGCATGTGCTCTATTTTTATTTTTTTTTTAAAGGAGTATCTAATCATCTTGGTAAACAGGGTGTTACACTGTCATCTGCAAAAATCATTGCAGCCATCCTTTTGTGTTCTGTATTCGTTAAGCACAGTTTTGCATGTAGACAGTGGCTTTTTTAACAGCTGTCTGTTACGTTTCTCAAAGTGTCTGGTATTTTTGTCTCGTGTCAGGTGAAGTGAAGGGCTAGGTTCTGATCTCTCTGATGAACAGTAGGCCTGGATTCATCACACCTTCAGCCCCGGAATTCAAGGTGCTAAATTAAAAGCCTATTTCACATTCGGAGCCCAGGCTCCCTAGATAATTTGTGGAGGGGGTGGGTACTTCCAGAGGTGATTCAGGACACCTGAAATCTGAATTATCCCTGGAGGTACTTTTCTCTGCTGACTGTAAGGGAAACCTTCATGCATAATTTAGACTTATGTGAGATTTAGGTAGACAGCGGTGCTCAGCATTTTCTAAAAAATTTCTAAAACTCCTCTTTTATGCACCCAAAACCTGAGGCATCAAAAAACTCCAGACTCTCTTGAAAATATGTGTTGATGTATCTTTACTTTGCTCCTAGTTGTGATCTCAAGCGAATTTTGAGTGTAAAAAAATCTGAGGACCAAAAAAAGACCCAACAAAAAACTGTAACAAAGCTTACCTATTTCTTGACTCCCAGTTCGTGCTCATCACCATGTTTTCTGAGGTTCCAGTAGTGCATTGAGTGACTGGCAGCTGGTTCATGCTTGAAGAGACTGTGCATTATGAATCAGTATTTAACATCCAGTCCGATGCAGCGTTATATTTAGCAAGTGGCTGTTGGGAGAGAAGTGCTGAAGCCTTTCAAAGCGTTTCCCAGAACAATACTAGGGACAATGACCACAGCAAAAAGCTTTCCTGATGTAGAATCAGCCCTCCACCAGCATGGGACAAGGTTTCTCAGTGTAGCATTAGTTTTGCAATGTGTGTTGTCCTGGTCTGTCGTAATGGTGAACACCATAAAATTAAATGGCTCTTTGCCTTCTATCCTAAACTTTATTTCTTTGTTCTCCTCTAGCCCAGTCATGGCTGGAGATTCCAGGATCTTCATGAACCAGGACATGGACATCGGAGTTACATCCAGAGAGCCTAAGAAGATTCCCAAACAGGCTCGGGATGATGTCCCCATTGCCACCGACCGAACCCGCCTCATATCAGCAGAAGGTAAGAAGCCACGTCAGCGTTACATGGAGAAAAGTGGCAAGTGCAACGTGCACCACGGAAACGTCCAAGAAACCTATCGATACCTTAGTGACCTCTTCACTACGCTGGTGGACCTCAAGTGGCGTTTTAATCTTCTTGTCTTCACTATGGTCTATACCATCACTTGGTTGTTTTTCGGGTTCATATGGTGGCTCATTGCCTATATCCGGGGAGACCTGGACCACCTTGAAGATGAGAACTGGATCCCCTGTGTTGAAAATCTCAGTGGATTTGTTTCTGCGTTTCTGTTTTCTATTGAGACTGAGACAACTATTGGGTATGGCTATAGGGTCATAACGGAGAAGTGCCCGGAGGGCATCGTACTGCTCCTGATCCAGGCTATTCTGGGCTCCATTGTCAATGCGTTCATGGTGGGGTGCATGTTTGTCAAGATCAGCCAACCAAAGAAGAGGGCTGAAACCCTCATGTTTTCTAACAACGCAGTGATTTCCATGAGGGATGAGAAGCTCTGTCTCATGTTCCGGGTTGGAGACCTCCGCAATTCCCACATTGTCGAGGCTTCCATTAGAGCCAAACTGATTAAGTCCAAACAGACCAAAGAAGGAGAGTTTATCCCTTTGAACCAAACGGACATCAACGTGGGATTTGACACTGGAGATGACAGATTGTTCCTGGTGTCACCTCTTATCATCTCACATGAAATCAATGAGAAAAGCCCCTTCTGGGAGATGTCCCGCACTCAGCTGGAGAAGGAGGAGTTTGAAATTGTGGTCATCCTGGAAGGAATGGTGGAAGCGACAGGTAAGGACTTGTCAAAAATCAGTCACAATTTTAAAGGGGGAAGGGGAAAAATGGAGTGCAGTTTGGCATGCAGATTTTACTGTCCATGTCACCTGAACTGAGAACATGTTGGGATTTGTCCTTCTCTAGTGACTGATTGAGGTGGGATATCGTGATCTGAGATAGACAGCAATTAAAAGACAGGTCCTTTAGCTCATATTGTAGGATTCCACACTCTTTTTATAGGTTCAGGATTCAGACAAAGAGGTTAGACAAGAAACTATCCGTAATCACTTAGAATTGATCCGTGGGAAAAAAGGAATGGGCTAAAAGAAATCCTGAGATCTCTTGTGGTCCTGCTTCCTATGATCAAAATCCATGTTGTAAATCTTTTTCGTTCCTCCTCTGTATTAAAAATTGGCTGTAACTGTGCTATTTTAGGTATTGCTGTGGTGTTGCTTTTTAATGGAGGCTATGAAGGAAGTGCCCAAGTATTACTATATCCCATAAAACAGCATGTGCTGAAACCGAATGACTTGCACGTGATGTAGGACATATATTTTCAAAAGGAGCTCAAAGAAGAAAAATACAGAAACTGCTTTTGTGACTCTCAGGACTCAGCAGCTGTTTAACAGCATAAAACAATGCTGTGTAATGGGTAGATTAGGAGATACACTCAGCTGATTCCCAATTTCCTCCTATGGGTGTATTTGTGGCAGGCGACGAGAGAAGCCTCTGTCCATCTGTAATAAATCTGGAAAAGTTGTGTGCCTCAGCTTTCCAAAGCGTAGCAAAGGGAGGTGGTGGCGTGTCTCTCAGGCTTTTAGAAGTCATTTTGCCCTTTGGTGTGTAAGGATTTCAGTTATGAGACAGCACTGGGTACCCATTTTTGATTGGTGGTGGTGGTTGGAATTTTTTTCCATCTTGAATTTTTTTTCCATCTTGAATTTTTTTTCCATCTTGAATTTTTTTTCCATCTTGAATTTTTTTTCCATCTTGATGAGGCACGGGCTCTCTCTGAAACACTAGCAAGGCTTTTCAGCTTGATACAAGTACTCAGTGGTATCAGCACCCTGTCTCACAGATTCTGGCCCTTGCTCGCTATCAATCCTGTCCCCTTCTTGAGATTTGTCCTTGTTAGTCTCTGAACAGCCAGATGTAAGGGAAAACAGCCTCTCAAATTCCTGCATCCCAGGCCTTTGCTCTTAAAGGCAGCTCTCTAGAGAGCTAATTCAGTTTCCCAGTATCTCCCTTGAGTCGTTAGGTGAATAGCAATAGCTGACTTTTCCAAACAGAGCTAATGGGAGGTTATGTATAGATTGCACTGTACCTGGGTTGGAGTACTGCGTCGTAGGAGTGGAATTCATTTGGCATTACTAGGCAAATACTCTTCCCCAGCAGAGTATTGTAGAGATGTGGCAAAAGAAGGGGTGGGTGGAAAAGTCTATCAAAGGCAAAGATTTGTAATGGAAGCTTAGTTTGTAGCCTAAATATTTACTAGATACTAGAGCCTCCTAATCCGAGCATGGAATGCAATTCCTTGTTTGTCCAAAGCCTCTTTCCTCATCCCATGGTGACACTACCAAATTCCTTTGAACAGCTACTGCACTGCCTTCCTCTTATGAAAGCTCAGCCTCTGCTAGACATGTGTGAGAGGAAGTCATTACCAATAACAACCTCAAAATTAAAAGCATGGCATAGGAATAATATTGCTTTACAAATGGGCTCCTCTCCCAGAGGGATTGCACAGGCCAGCGTGTAATGATATTAAGGAGCACACGTCTGTGGAAATGGATTATTCTGGTCTCAGAAGGCAGGCTATGAAATTCCAGAATTGGAGCTAGAAGAGCCAGTTTGCATTGAACTCAGAGCAGAGTGGACCTCAGATGATGCTGAGATGGTTTTCTGAATGACATATGGTAACTGCAGGGGGGGGTGTGATGTTTTGCCACAAGGAAAGTGGCTTGCAGAAGGACAGTGTTTTGTGCTTTCCTGCTTTGTCTTCACACTTCATAACATTAAAAAAGCAGTTTGGGGGCTTTTCATCCCTACCTCCATACCTTAAAATTTGCTCCAAGCAAGTTCTTTAGCTTCTTTCCTTCCTATTGTACTGCTCAAGCCCCATCTGCTTTCAGGAATGGTGTAATTCACTTGCAGTGTGACTTCTATTAAATCCTGACACTAGTACAACCTGGTCAGGTTCAGGGCAGTATAAAAATGCAACGGGCTGATTGTTCCCATCGTAACCCCTGTGAAAAATTAGGAGCCACCATCACAGTGTTCAGGGGTACAACTGGTCAGCACATATAGCTGTGTTCATGGTGCACGAGAGGCAAGCGAGTGCTGCGTGCTGTCTCTAGGGATAGGAGCAAACCATGCCATGAATGCCTCCTGCACTGGTGGGGAAAAGACAGCTGTAATTTTTCATTAGGTATCTCGAAAGCAGGTCAAAATGGCAATCATCCACCTACAAATGACTAAAGAAATTCAAGCGTAATGTCTGGAATAAAAGCATGAACGTTTTTCACTGAAACATTGGGGACAGCGATTTTATAACTATTTTCAGTAGCTTTAAGCAGCCACAGACCTATCACAAATGAAAAGTGTAGAATAAATTCTGAAAAGTTGAAACACCTCAAGTCATTGGGTTTTTTTCCAAAATGAAACATTGCGGTTTGAAACGATGGTTTTGTTTTCAAGTTGACTTGAATTTCCTAAACAATTCAAGTTGTTTTTTTTTTTTTACAAAGTAAACATGTGCTTTAAAACCATGTTTCTGTTTTCAAGTTGACTTGAAATTTTACAAGGATAAATAGCAACACGCAAGAATCATACCAGCCAGCCTAAAATGCAATGGTTTTACTATGCTGAAAAAGAAAATAAATGATGTATTATTCTAGTGAGAGCTCTCCAGGGACCCACAGCTGTTCTACTGACTAACCCACGAAGCCAGCTGTGGCAGGAGCTCACTGACAGGGGCCTTTCCAATATTTTAGTATGGTTGAGGCATTCTGACTCCACAAGGGGTTAAAAAATGCCAGAGAGAGACTAAGTTTCTGGGCAGATCTGTTTTGAGCATCGCTAAGTGAAACGACCGCTGGAAAGACAAAATCAATAGAGATGACAAGTGTTCTGACTTCCAGTGCTGCTCTGTGGGCATCTGGAAAGCAGCAGCATCGCTCCCAGTGCCTGCTTAATGAATTGGTCACAGAGATTACTTCAGGGAATTAATTCTCTTGTGCCTTATCTGAAAGGGACACTTGTCAAGATCAGCTCGGCCGAAATTAGACCCGCAATAAAAGGGAAGAAAGGGAAGGTGGAAAATCTGTTTGCAAAGTGAATACAGTTTTGCTTTCACTGCCTCCCTGCGTCCCACAGTGGCACCAAAAAATTAGAGGCATCCTGTTGACAGAATAGGTCGAGGCTGTTGTTGGCCAAACTCTTGTCCTTACCCTCCTCATCCTCAACTGAACATAGAGTATAAAGCAAGGCTGCTGGGACGTAGAAGAGCAGTGGAGATTCAGACCCCCCTTCCATATTCCTGCAGAGTCAGTTGGGTTGTGATGAAGAAGCTGGCTAATTCAGTTAGAGAACATTGGAGAGTCCAATATTTTATCTTTTTTTCCCCTGTAAGCCATTCTCCATGTGATGACGCAGTCTGCCTATCCTCCAAGACTTTCTGGCAGATAATTTGAAGATGCTCTCTTCTCTTCCAACTTTACCCTTCTGCTGCTGTTTACTGACAATTAACCAAAACCTGATTTATCAGTAGCTGTCCTGCAAACCTCATTGTGCATCTACAACCTCCAGCATTGTCTGCAGTCTTCAGGCATAGAGATAGCACTGCTCGGTACTTTACTCTCAGTCCTCACTGGTTTTCATTATCTCTTTTTCCCACCACCATTAAATTAGCCACAAGAGACAGTCCAGATGCCTGATTAGTCCAGCCACTACATGAAGTTTTAATAAACTCTTAGGAAAGGCTAGGCACATATATTTCTGGCTTAGAGTGGGTGTGATAAAAAGTGGTTTAACGATTAGAAGTGATTTACCTCATCCTGTCCCTGTGAGGGTATAGGCAAAGAGCAGCTTTTTTGCACCTCAATTTATCTAGCTTTACACAGGACACACTACAATTTCTTGGCTGTAAATATAGGCCCAAAAGAAGCAGTCACAACATAAGATATCCTGACATTAATCATGATTTTCATGGGAGAACAAAGGAAGGGTGAAATTACTAAATGGAGTTTTTGTGCATTCATCATCTGGTTTGGGTTGTCTTGTTGTTTTGTTTTGTTTTGCATTTTGCATGTAGATAAGTTTTCTGCAAGAAGGACCTTGCAGAACTGTTACAGAAACTGCTTATATAATTATAGGGAAGAGAGAGATGTCTCAAGTCATTCTTTTCATGAGCTGAATAGTCCTCCAGAGGTAGACATTGGCAGGCTGGTCATCTTTGGTGCCTCTGTGGTCACTATATACCGTTGTGAGGGAACTAATGCTACATGGTATGAACTCGGTGCTCAGGTTCTGCCTAGTACACGTCAGCTCAATCCAAGATCTTTAAATCATAAAAGGTCCTTCTTGCCCCCCCCAATTTCCAGTGCCTGGGAGCTGTCACATGCCTGGAGAGCATTCAGATAAATTAAAATCCTATTACTCTCCTCTGGCATAAAAATCAAAGTGAATCAAGCCCAGACATGTCCTCCTCTAAAGGAGACGAGCACAAATAATTGGAGGACCACGCTCCTACCTTCTAATATTCCTTTTCAAGTTGAAGGGATATTGACTTTCTGGAAGTTGCGGTGTTCTTTGGTCTAATTAACGCAAAGAGGCGACTAAATTTTATAACTATCCAAATGCTGATGCTGATCTAAAGACATGTATTGCTTAGAGTGATAGAACTTAACATTTTTATAACTACTCCTTGCCATCCTAACTCACATCAGTCTGTCACTATACCTCTGAGCTCATCAGTTCTTTCCCTGTGCTCCTGTAGTGCAGGTCGAGCTCAGCTGTAG